AGGATGTGCCGCTGGATCGCATATCACTATATTTGTTTAACGTGATATTTAAACATCCCAAGTGTTCCGGCAGTCTTTATGCATTTGCACAATACCTGCAAAGATGTGATAACGAGTGTCTTCAGACACGTCATGCGCACTCTTGGGGGGGGGTGGATGTTTGTTGTTGCGCGCGCGTACTGAAGAGCGGTGTTATCGCGCGCGTTCTGATCAGCTGTGTTGTCGCGCGCGTTCTGATCAGCTGTGTTGTTGCGCGCTTACTCAAGAGCGGTGTTGTCGCGCGCCTACTGAAGGGCGGGACCGAGGGTGTGCCGCGTCGCAGGGCCACTTTTAATCATTTTGGAGGGGCACTTTCTATCCAAGACTAAAAAGGGCATGTGCACTGCACAGGTTGAGGTCTATGTATGCACGTGCCTGCATATGGCCCGTAGCCCGTAGCCAGCCTGGTGTAAGTGGTGGTTCTTTTTTTCTCAAAAAGTGGACCTTTTTGCAGTTATACGCCTCAGTTTCTATTTAACTATGAGATTTAAATACTGCATTTTAGTGACTTTTTAGCTGGATTAGCTAGTCAGATGTCATCATAACCACACTTTTTGATGTACTAAAATATTTGCTAAAAATTGCAGTTAAAAAAAATGCAAACAAGATTTATTTTTAAAATACAAATTTATTACATCATATGTCATTAGGAAAATATAGCAATCAGTTAAAGTTTTAAAGTAAAAAAAAAAAATCATTATTTAGACAAAAAACAAACTGGCCAGCACATTCAACTGTCCTCAGTCACAGTTTGGCCATTTCAATAAAAAATAATAATAAAAACATAATAATAATAATAATAATAATAATAATAATGCAATAATAAATAATTCTTCCGATTTTTTTCTAGCCTCTTTGGTTAAAAAAATAAAGCCTTTTTTCGATGGATTATTTTCATTATTTATGGTGGCATAGCAGTCAAAATAGTATGAAAATAGGACAAATGAGCTCATTTGGGACAAATTCTGGACCTTTGTCAGTGAGGGGTGGTTCTTCCAAACCACCCGAACCTCCCTGGCTACAGGTCTGAAAAGTTAGAACAGTTTTATGCTTATAGTTATGCTTATAGTTATAACAGTTTTATGCTTATAGTTATGCTTATAGTTATAACAGTTTTATGCTTATAGTTTTAATAGAATTTTGGCTGTAAATGCGCACCTACAGGTGTTTCAGGCGCAGGTCAGATTTTCTCCAGGTCATAATTTATTTAGTTCATATTAATTTTGTCCAAAAAATGATAATACCTATCCAGCTTTATCTAGAATGCATCCCAAATCACCTTCTGAAGTGGTTTGAGCGATCAGGTTTATATCCGATCAGAATAAGTGAGCAAACAGCCTCAAAAACACAGACATGACGGGATTAGCGCCTTTTGCTGCAAGTGACTTCTAACGGCTGAGGGCTCCGCTTGCCATTAAAGCCTTCATCGGGCAATTATTTAAAAAATGTCAGAAATGGGGAAAGAGAGATTATGTACTGGACAAGTCAATAAATATACAGGACGTCCAGGCTAATGCGGCCAGTTAGCCAGGAACCTAGGGGCAGATTTTCATCTGTTAGGAAGTAAGTCCCTTACCTGTTTGGCAGTCTTTATGAACATATGTTCAATATTTTGCAATAATGACGCCGCTGCCTGCCTTTTCTGCCTCCTTGCTCTTTTCGACCAACAGCTCACTATGGATGTCGCATCAAAGATTCAAATGTGACCACTCAGTGGGTTATGTCTCGTGACTCGCGTTACATTATTGTGGCTTTGAAGCTCCATGGGATTCAAATTACTGGCCAGAGTTATTTAAAATTACACTTTATTACAATATATATTGAATATAAATATATTATATTAATTATATAATAAATTAAATTCTTGACCTTTTGGCCGTGGGGAACCACCCGAACCCCCCCTGGCTACGGGCATGTATATATATATATATATATATATATATATATATATATATATATATATATATATATATATATCATCACCTTTGAATTCTAAGGTTTTATCTGCGTTCTGAAGGATTTTGAGATAATGAGCTTGTGCCTTCTATATAGCGTTTGTTTTTTAAATAAAAAGTCTTAAAATGTAAACAACTTTTTAAAAAGCATCCCAAAATGTAAATAAGTTGTAATTTAATAGGAATATGTCAGTAACTTAATTTTAAGAAAAATGTCAGATAAAACCTTATAATTCTAAGGTGATGATATAATGACAGTGAAATGTTCATAGTTTCTGAGTAGCCTACATTAGGCTAAATCATTTTCCGGGTCATCAGCCATCAATCAACTACTTTGACCACAATGAGCCAGGCTTTACAAACTATTCGCAGCACTTAAAGTATTACCCTTGGAAAAATAAACTCAGTCGGAAAGATGAGATAACATAAACTTATTGTAAGAATAATCTTACAGAGCGGTGCATGAATCGCTTGCATTACTGAGACATAGCGCGCAGCCCTCCTGTATACGGACACTTCTAAAACAGCAGCACAAAGGGGAGAAATCAGTGCATTGAGGATATGTCCAATGTGCCTTTTCTCATGTAAGGTTTCAGGTAGGGGTGAACATGATTTAGAAACAGCTATGATCTCCATGTTGCAGGTCAAAATGAAGCCATTTAATGCAAAACTAATTGCATTTCTCCACTGATTACTTATATTTACAGGAACAAATAGTCTTGGAGAAAGAATTTTGAGTTGTCATGAACGCGATGCGCAGTTTAAATTGTGAACGAATGGCGAATGATTGACAGGCGCAGCAGCGGGAAGCGCTGAAGTGAACATGAAATTAACCACGTGAATATTTATCTGTACTTCATATTAAACTATAGAATGGCTTCAGGACATTTGGAATATAGTAGCCTACATAACAACTTTCTAGTGCCTTATAATAGTGGCTTATAAATTACACAGAATATAGAGCATGCGCAAGATCGGATTTGGATCGGTACCAGCTGGCCGATACCCGATCCAGTAAAAATATGCAGTATATAAGTATCGTATCGGGATCGGTGCATCCCTATTCGAAATGGGTAGGGTAGTGTAAGACTGGCGGGGTTACATTAGTTCTGTGACCAGATGAGAGTGAGGTTTAGTGTGGTGAGTGTAACAGAGGCCAGGTAGTACAGTCCTGTGCAGGTAAACCTCACTCCTCTGAACCTCAAAAGGTGCTCTAACGACAGACGCTAGAGGCCATGATCTTTAGCCTCCTTGTTAGAGCAACCAACTCCCATGCGGAGAGTCACTGGTTCGATCCCAGCTCAGATCAGGGTTGGCAGAGTAAGTCCAGCAGGGGCATCAACTTTAATGCATAAATGTTGAAAAAATATGAACTTCTTCTTTTTTTAACAAATATTACTGATCCTAAACCTTTAAATAGTACTCCGTTTAGCATATTAACATATCTCAGATATACAGAATGAAGTCAAGGTAAAGGTCAGACAATAGCTCTCAGCCCTCCTCTCCAGTACCAGCCCTATTCTACAGCATAAGGTACAGAGGACAATGGAATGCTAGGCCACTGTATTTGCTGAGCACAGCAACTCATACAGAACTCTTTCAGAACTCAACACATATGGTCTCATAGCACAGGAATGCAGATCGCCTGCTAAAGCTCTTCATGCAGTCTTGGAGTCTACCAGCATGATTTAGCTTCATTCCTTCATTTAGCTTCATTCACTACTTCATTCATAAATCTGTTTACAGTTCGAAACATCATGGTCGCAACAAATTAATAAACAGGATGAACTGCATTCACTGTTACGTAAGATGTTCTCCACATGTATGCTGTAATAGCGTTAAGGAAAGAATTTCAACTACACACCTTTGCTTGATTATGGAGGTGTCTGGGATTATTTGATGTGAACTTGAAAGCAGTAACCTCTTCTTTGCGTTTTCGTCCATCTTTTATATACGTCAGAAGCCATTAAATGCATTTTTATAGTCTCGCCACAGATGCGAGTTGAAGATGACTTGAGGGCAAACACGGCTGGAAGTTTTTTCAGCGGTAGAACAGGTCAACAATTCCTGCTGATAGGATGTTTATAATGAAGTGAAGGACTGTAAAATGGGTTTAGTCTTTTAGCGGCTGTGGGTAAGATGTCCAGTTAAGAGTTTTACAACATGAACACTAATGCTGACATAGATCAATTTGAAACTTTCCACTTTTCTGTGGTAAAATAGAGTAAACTATTCCTTGTTGAAGGAACACTCCGCTTATGTTGAAAATAGGCTAATTTACTACTCCTAAAACTTACCATGTTTGTATCTATTTACCTTAGCATACCACTTTTAGCTTAGCATAAACTATTTAATTTGATTTAGACCATTAGCATTTAATTCCAAAAAAATGTGCTGTTTGATAAGTTCCCTTGTTAAGACTTGAATATTTTGTAGTTATGTTGTGTACTAAGACTAACAGAAAATGAAAAGTTGCAATTTTTTACACAGATACAAACTATACTCTCCTTCTGGCCTAAAATTAAGGAAGTATTTTGCTGTATCAAGGCTGCAGCTGGCAAAATTATATTAGTAGACATATATTGACATAGAAAATAGCTAATTTTGCTTTCTGTCAGTCTTAGTACACAACATACCTACAGTAGAGTAAAGCTTTAAATAGATTAAAAATAAATTAAAATTTTAAATAAAACATTTTCTAAAAGAATTTTGGAGCGAGATGATACTGGTCTAATCCGATACAATAATTTATGCTAAGCTAAGCTAAAAGTGCTCCTGCCAGACTCAGAGATTGGCTGAATTAATTAAAAAAATGATTAAAGTCAACTGGCTTAATTCTAGGGGGCTTAAAAATGAGCCTTTTCCAAAAAAAAAGTATAGTGTTTAATATTTTATGTTCAGGCATGCAGTTTATCCTCCTGTTGTATTCTTTCTGCTAACACAAGAATGTTTGTCCATTATAAATCAGCTTGCAACAACAATAATTGTCTTGTTTTTGCATCACAGAGTCTGAACATTCAGGTGGAGGATGTTCGTATCCGCCCTATCCTGGCATCATATCGGAAGCGCATCCCAGTGACAGAAGGCTACGTGGAGGTGAAGGATGGAGGAAAGTGGAAGCAGATCTGTGATGATGAGTGGACTCAGATGAACAGCAGGGTCATCTGTGGCATGTTTGGCTTTCCGGGACAGAAAAGATACAATACCCGGGTGTACAAGTGAGTGCAGCTTTCAGTTGAGATGTCTTTTGTGCAGATGTTTTTCTTCAGAGAAGCTGTTTTGGTGACCTTAGAAAAATGTAGGATTGTAATATTTTACATGGAAGTACTCCCCTTATGATAATATATATCTTACTCCATTCAACTGCTCCCACTCAGCAGTTTGGTGTTAGTTTCATTTGGAGTTTACACTGACAAATGTTATGCTGTCTGCAGAATTTGTCTGTGGTCCATGGCATATTCCAGAACCGTGCAACAAAGTATGTTTTTCATCTCCACACATATCCGCTTCCTTCCAAAATGTTTCAAATAAGGCTGCTGTCCTTTTGCACTGGTGATGTCATTTCTGCAGGGATCACAAGCAAGATCAGCTGCATAAAAGTTCTGCATAAACACTAGCAGGACCCAATCCCAAACACATAAACAAGACACCACACCCTGTTTTGTAGCTTTAAACAATTAAAAGCAAGCTTTTTAGGAATACAAACACACATGCTTCCTTTAACCATGAGTGTTTTATTGTATTTATATATATTTTTAATGAATTGTGTTTGCCCTGAAAATAGTAATTGTTGCTAACATGGCATTAATTAAAAAAATATGTTATGATATGATATGATATGATATATGATATGATATGGTATGATATGATATGATATGATATGATATGATATGATATGATTTGATATGATATGATATGATATGATATGATATAGGGCGTAGGGTGGTGCAGTGGATAGCACGATCGCCTCACAGTAAGAAGGTTGCTGGTTTGAACCCCTGTTGGGTCAGTTGGCATTTCTGTGAAGAATTTGCATGTTCTCCCCGTGTTCGAGTGGGTTTCCTCTGGGTGCTCCGGTTTCCCTCACAGTCCAAAGACATGCAGTATAGATGAATTGAATAAGCTAGATTGGCCGTAGTGTATGTGTGTGAATGCAAGGGTATGTGGGTGTTTCCCAGTGCTGCCTGGAGGGGCATCCGCTGTGTAATAACATATGCTAGATAAGTTGGTGGTTCATTTTGCTGTGGGGACCCCTGATAAATTAAGGGACTAAGCCAACAAAAATGAATAATATAATATAATATAATATAATATAATATAATATATGATATGATATGATATGATATGATATGATATGATATGATATGATATATGATATGATATGGTACGATATGATATAGGGCTGTGCGAATAATCAAAATTGAATCGCAGTCGTGATTTAAATCGCAAGAGTCTGTGATATGAAATATATATGTATAATATAAATTCCTCCACTGAGAGCAAATGTGTGGCATGATGGCATCTGCCACTTCAGAAGCATTAATAGAAGAATTCAAATCAAAGACTAACAGCATGCTTCAAAGTCACAGACACTGAACAAAAACAGGTTATTTTTCAGAATTGTTGTCACAGCAAGAGGAACTACAACAACCAGCACCTAAAAAGGTACCACAGATGGCTAAATGAGGAGCGTCTTGCTAAAAAGTCAACTGAAAGCATTGTCAGTGAAACTCAGTCTAGTAGCAAACAACAGCAAATTACAATTTCAGAGTTGTTTGCAGCTGTTACACTTACACCATATGAAAAAACATCAGGAAGGCACCAGGAGATAACTAACGCTATAACTCACTGTTTGCCCTAGAGAAAAATGAGTGTTTAATTTTTTGTTTGAAGTTTGAGTTTTAAACTTCAACAATGAAAATAACATTTTAAAATATTATTTATCTGGTATCTATTAATGTATCTTAATTAAGCACTAGTGAAACAATTTAAATATTTTATAGTTATTAATGTGAGACCATTATTAATATTATTTTTAATATAAAATATAGCTGTCGCACAGTATCAGAGTCATTTCCACCACAACACTGTAAGGTCGCTTTAAAAAGTTTGTGTAAAAGATTATTTAGGTGGTTTCTATGAAAATGAATAGTGCCATCTGAGAAAATGTTCAAGATGAAGGGAATTAATTTTTTTATCGACAACACTTGAAGAAAAATCTAAGTAAAGATTGCTTGATAAGGAAATACATTTATTCTACGTCATTTCCAAACATGTTGTACCTTCAAAAATGTTTTTAAAACTAAACAAAATGAAGGTAAATAAGAGTGTTTTGTACACATGTAAGGCTTGTATCAATTCAAAGCTAATCTGTGAAGCTATTTTTAATTTTTCACAATAAACTGTTGAAATGTCATTTCCACCACTGTTCTTTCCATCACCACACACTTTTTTTTTATATTTAAAAAGTTCTCATCAAAAATTAAAAGTGAGTTTACAATGTATAAGTTCATGCTCTATTGAATATACAAATTCAGTTTATTTATTTTCTAATAAGCTCCTAACCAAATTAATATAAAATTTTAGAGTGTGACAGGTTCAGAATACAACTAATTTATTTCATTGGCAAATGTGCAATTATTATATAGTTTGTGGAAAGATTGGTTAAACAAGATACAAAAATAACATTAGACAATGTTTGACTGCCAAAACTTATTTCATTTTGAAATAAGCTTTATATTGAGATGTTGTGGAGTTGTTCAGTTCACAATGGAAAAAAAATGTTTCTCTTCTTATCTAAGTTTTCCTCTTACAGATCTTAAAACTAGACAAATTGTTTAAACTTATGAGGCTATGTTACGTTAATTTTGAACAAGTTTTTTTACTCAACTTTACAAGGCTAAAAGTGCCCGTAATTGAAGAATGGCCCATATACAGATTAATAAAAGTTGAAAGCAACGTGTTTGCTACTTTGCTGTATTTTTGTCATATTAGTTTAGTACAGTCACCGTCCATTGAGACTATCCCCTTTTCTTCCATGTGTTCAAAATAATGAAAATACTTCCATCTGTTTCTGCGGGGAGCTCATTTTCTCGAGTGTGATTCAACATGATTACACTTATTTTAAGCCAGCAAACAGTTTTTATAAGAATATAATAAATCTAAAAAGTAACTTGAGTTACATTTTTAAAATAGTAACTTAAAAATTATGACTTTTTAAAGTAATGCTTTACTTGTTACTAAGAAAAGTAATATTACTATGCACCGTGTGTTACTTGTAATGCGTCACCCCAACACTGCATCCACCATTTTGTCTTGATCACATGATCAACCTCATCAATGGCGTCACATCCCTCCCATTCATAAATTGTCTCGCGGTTCATCATGGGATAGTGTAGCGTGCATCGCATGTGCAAATCTTATTGGCAGTAGGTCATCCGGGTACTTCTCGTCTACTGTTTTTTAAATTCGATGAATTTAGACATACTACTCAGCTTGCATACTGTTTCTACCATACTACATAGCATGAAAGTATGCGATTTCGGACGCAGCCCATGTTAAATTTTTAATGCAATCTTGACATACTACATTCACCATATTGTCATTATTATGTGGTCTACCAGCATCAGTTTCTGTGTTTCTCTGCTTTCCACAAGTCCTTTGACGTGGCCTCATAAAAGAGTTAAAGTGTCCGTCCAATGCACACTTCAAAATAATGTCAGAAAAAGTAGCTCCTTTATCACTACACCCAATTCAGGCATGGTTCTTTTGTCACAAACATTTTTTTGAATAATTTATAGTAGGGCTGTATGCAATTAAGGACGCAGCATTGGTGTAATTAGTTACGGACCAAAGAATCCCTGGGGGTTTATAGACATAATGCAGCATGTTTATATTCCAGGGTCCTTTTTATCAGTGGTTCCAATTGATGCTTACACAAAACATTTTTATTAATTGTTAAAAATCACAAAATACCTAACTTGCTATATTTATTAAAATCTATATACATGAGTAAACAGCCTGACACGTTCATTAACAATGGCAGTAATTTTTTTGTGTTACAAGACAAAAACCTTGATCCATTAGCTGCAGGGAGGAGACCTGAAAGAAAATATGTCCTTGGAAATAATGAAAATACCCATGCTGCTTTTACATCAGCGTTGGTCAGTGAAACCACTGTTTGCCTCTCAAGTAAGTCTTGACAGATGAAGCTGATTTTGGATCAAAACATGAAGAAAGTTTCTAATTAGACTTTCGTCCAGACGAATCTCTGCAGTATGCTGTTAGAAAGTCAAAAATAAATACAGAAGTCTGCAGAGGATAGCTACACGTGAACAAAGCCTCAGAGTTTTACTTTCTGCAAAGCTATTACATTCCATGCTGTGTTTGTAATGTATGACTCTCATGAGTTGCATAAATCTTCGTGAGCACTTCTATAACTATGTGGAAATCAGCACTAAATGCCTAGTTAGTAATTAATCTATTATATGAGCAATCAACCAGGCACAATGGAAATTAAAGCTTTATAGCTGGTTGTATGATCTCAGGCGGTTCGGCTAAGCTACGTGCTTCCCCTCACATGCTGTGCCTTATGAAATGTGCAGGCGCTGTCTGTTTTTTTTTTTTTAAATCTGTACTTGATGTTGGGGGAAGGGGGGGACACGTAACCAAAGGCTGTCGTTTTTTTTTTTTTCAGCGTTAAGCCAAAATGAGCTTCTTTTCAACTACCTCTGTCTGCCCTGTGGCTTTAAACTGTGCTTTCATAAGGAAACTTGGACTTTCCTTTCAGAGGGCCGTGCATGAATGGCTCCTGTAAATAATATGGGTCTTTCCTTGGCTGGAACAAGCAGACAATGTTCTCAGATGATAAAGCATCAATGTGAAACTCTCACTACAGCTGTTTCCACAAACTATATAAATTAAACAGCAAGTTATATGTTCAAGCTTCTGAATTCAGTGTGTGCTTTGTGGCGAATCTTTTAAATCTGCTGGTGTCTCTGTGTGTTTGTGTCCGTTTGTTTATATCCACATTTGTTTTCCCAATAGTAGGTGCAGTAGGGTTCTATCTCAGACTTTGGAGCAAGTCCAGTATGAGACATTCTCTCCCTCTGAGTCAAAATAAAAAACAAATATGGATTGTGTCTGTTTTCGTGAATGATGAATGATATTCTTCTGACAGGGGAGCTTGTTAAGTATTCTGTTTGTGAGATGATTTTTCCTGCAAGAATATTTGACGTCATTTCAGCAGCGCTTCATCTTTTTTTTGCAGTTCCATATGTATCAGACCTTTAATCTGGTCATGAATCATTTACTAGTCAGATGCTATGGCTTGAATCCTGGATCAGATCTATACATGTGTTTTGTATATTAGTAACATTTTAGTGTTGTAGCTTTACCTCATTTGAACAATACGGTTTTATTAGTTAAGAGTTTATTTGGTAACACTTTAAAATAATGGTCTCTTAGTTTATGTTAAAGTATAAAAAATCATAGTAAACGTAGTGCTTGTTAACATGAATTAATGCACTGTGAGAACTAACAATAAACCAATTATAATAAATAAATAAATAAATAAAGGACTAAGCCGACAAGAAAATGAATGAATGAAGTCAGCGTAAAAGGGAAGATGCTGATACTTGTAGTTAAGTATGTTTATGCAATTAAAAATGAAACTGAACATTAAGTAGGGGGCGTCTCTTTTTTTCCATTTTAGACACATCATTCCCTTTAAGAAAACATTAAGAGTAAGAGGGTTGTGGTTAAAAATATTATGGCTGAAACCGTCAAATTGGAAGTATATGGTCAGACTTTGATTGGAATTTTACCAAAAAAAAATTCAGTGGATTAATTTGCATATATTAATAGTTCACCTAAAGAATAACGACGTGCGCTAGCAAAATAAACATTGTAAATTGTAACTTCACGTGGAGTTTAACAAATTGGATTGTTCTCTAAATCTCTTTTGCTTTATTTTCCAGGATGTTTGCCCGCAGGAGAAAGCCATCATACTGGGATTATACCATAAACTGTACTGGAAAGGAAGCTCATTTGTCTAGCTGTACGCTGGGCCACACGCTCAGCAACAGCACATGTGAGGAGGGCACACCGGTGGTAGTCAGCTGCATCCCTGGCAGAGCATTTGCCCCGACTCCCATGACGGGATACAAGAAAGCCTTCAGACAGGAGGTGAGACCAGATGATGCATTTCTTCCAAAAATACGAGAAGCCACATGTCCACATGAGGCATTGCTTTGCATTGAACTTCTCACCTTTGAAAAGACTATTAAGGTCTCAACACACTTTATCGCTATAGTGGTAGTAAATCTTGATCTGAACTAAGCGGCTACTTTAAAGCGAATCATCTTGTACTTAAAAAGTGTTCGTAGCGAAAGTGGCAGTTTCAGAGTCCAATAAGTTGAGTTGCCGCAAACTGTGATTATATGAATACTAATGGTAGAGAGCGGAGAGGAGGATATTTTTAAATCTCCAAAGCACTTTGATGACAGACATTTTACCCAAAAATTACATCACTTTTTCCAAATTACATATTCAAGTAGTCCATGTGGAAGCTTGCCCGTTACATACCATTCAGTGAGGTCAGTGGGTTCATTAGCATGATGTACTGTATGATCTGCACTTTAAATTATTAATATTGTGTTCCTCCAAGAACATTGAATCTTTTATGGTAAATGTTCATTACATTACCATCTGTCTGTCTGTCTGTCTGTCTGTCTGTCTATACTCACCAGCCACTTTATTAGTTACAACTGCTTGTTAACCAAATATCACATGGCAGCATCTCAGTTCATTAGGCATGTAGACATGGTCAAGACGATCTACTGCAATTCAAACCGAGCATCAAAATGAAGAAGAAAAGTGATTTAAGGGGCTCTGAACGTGGCATGGTTGTTGATGCCATACAGGCTGATCTGAGTATTTCAGAACCTGCTGATCTACTGGGATTTTTATGCATAACCATCTCTAGGGTTTACAGAGAATGTTCTGAAAAAAACTAAATATCCAGCAAGTGGCAGTCCTGTGGGAACAAATGCCTTGTTGAGGATGTTCCATCCTGCCTTTTATCAATGGTTCAGGCTGCTGGTGGTGATATAATGGTGTGGGGGATATTTTCTTGGCACTCTTTGGGCCCATTAGTACCAATTGAGCATCATGTCAATGCCACAGCCAACCTGAGTATTGTTGCGAACCATCTCCATCCCTTTATGACCACAGTGTACCCATCTTCTGATGGCTACTTTCAGCAGGATAACGCGCCATGTCATAAAGCGCAAATCATCTCAGACTGGTTTTTTGAACATGACAGTGAGTTCATTGTACTCAAATGGCCTCCCCAGTCACCAGAGCTCAATCCAATAGAGCACTTTTGGGATGTGGTGGAACGGGAGATTTGCATCATGCGATGTGATGCTATCATGTCAATATAGACCAAAATCTCTGAGAAATATTTCTAGTACCTTGAATGCCACAAAGGATTTAGGCAGTTCTGAGGACAAAAGGGGGTCCAACCCTGTACTAGTAAGGTGTACCTAATAAAGTGACCGGTGAGTCTATCTATCTGTCTGTCTGTCTAATCTTTGCATTAAATGCAACATTTTTTTAGTAACTGAGATCAGGAAGCAACACCACATTTTTTGCTTGGGCTTTCCACGTGCATAAAATGTCCTACAATCGCACAAACAAACCAACTAAGCAATGAAAGCATACAATAATCATGCTGATTCAGTAGAGCAGAGGTCACCAAATTCCTGCAGTGTATAACTTTCCTTAACACACCTGCCTGGAAGGTTCAAGTACAAGTAGTAAGCACTTGATTGGCTTGTTGAAGTGTGTTTGATTAGGATTGGAGCTATGTAAAAATCTGCAGGACACCAACCCTCCAGGATTGAGCTTGATGACCTCTGCAATAGAGCGTATAGGTCAGGGGTGTCAAACTCATATCCTGGAGGGCCACAACTCTGCACTTTAACCCTTGTTAAACACATGCCATCAAACGAATTGAGTCCTTCAGGCTTGTTTGAAACCTAGTGTGTTAAAGCATGGTTGGAACTAAAGTAAACCTAGAGTTTGGCCTCCCTGATATAGGCAATTAAACTGCTTACATTAATGCTTAAGTTTTGTCATTTAGAAAGCAAAATATGTATGTACTTATTCCAAACATGTAGTTCACCCCAAAAATGAAAATTTACGCACCATGTACTCCTCTCTAGTGGTCATAAACCTTAATGAGTTCCTTACATCTGTCTAACAAAAAAAGGTTATTTTGAGTAATCTGAAAACCTGTAACCATTGACTTCCATAGTATGAAAAACAATACTGTGGACGTCAATGAGTACACGTTTCCAGCTTTCTTCAAAATATGACAAGTGAAGGGTGAATAAGGGATGACAGAATTTTTTTATGTTAGGGTGAACTATCACTTTAAATCCTAAATGACAAGACAATTTATGTGAAGTTTATTTATAAACAAATTTCGAGAGGATCACGTGCTTATGATTGTTCACAGCTGTTCCAACTTTAGCTAATGACCGATTATCCTATCAGACGATCCTTAACTCACTATAAACAACCAGACTTTTCTCATCTCAATATCTTCGTCCTGAAGAAACCTCCCCACCCAACCCTACTTTCCCTCCTTTCTAACGGGCGTCACGGTGGCCAGCGATTAGCGCTGTTGCCTCACAGCAAGAATGCCACTGGTTTAATTCCTTTCCAAACCAGACAGCATTTCTGTGCGGAGTTTGCTCGTTCTCCCCGTGGTCGCGTGGGTTTTCCCCAGGTCCTCCGGTTTCCTCCCACAGTTCAAAAACAAACACTCTAAATAATTAATCCAAATACAATAGCTAAACTCTGAGTACACCTTTCAGCATCCATATCTGACACTACAACAAGCAAGAGGGGGAGTCATCGAGATCTACCTGAGCTCAAACTCCCCTCTCGCCTTGCAACGGGAGGGAGCCCAGGGCTCGAGGATCTTATAAGCTCAGGGCTCTCTCCCGGGACAGCACACCAAACTAGCTTATTATCAATCATCAGCTAAGTGTGAACTCTTGAAGTCAATATTAGTAAGCCAGTTGCCACACACTTTCTTAATGGTCCCAGTGGTTCTATGTACGCAGAGTACTTACAGTTTAAATGCATGAAATTCCGACACAATATAGGCAGTGAAATAAATGAACCAGATTTTGAAATGAGCATGATAACTTTAACTATGTCTTGAGGTTTTGTCAAGCACATCTGCTGTTATGCTCTGAATTGCTGGAAAACATCTCAAATATGATTTTCCCATGTGGAGTTACTTCCAAAGAATTTCAGCTGTTCTGCTCAGTAGAATCATTCTCTTTCTTTCAATCTTTGTCTTTTTTCACAGCAACCCCTGGTGCGTCTCAGAGGTGGTGCTGTTGTTGGAGAGGGGCGCGTGGAGGTCTTGAAGAATGGAGAATGGGGCACAATCTGTGATGACAACTGGAATCTGCTAGCAGCTACTGTCGTGTGTCGTGAGCTTGGATTCGGAAGTGCCAAGGAGGCTCTTTCTGGAGGTCAGCTTGGACAAGGTGTGTATAGTTGATCTTGAAAATTCTGGACAGTTCAACCTCTACAGCCTCACTTTCTACTGTTCCTTTACTGGGGGCCTTTTTAGGTATTCATAGCACTAGGTGCTCTAGGGAAATGGAGACTAAATTTGGCACATTGCTTGGTATAATGAAAGTCATTTACATTAATGTCTTCACAATGGACACTGTCTAGCATATCTTTGTAGTGAAAAATGGATCTTATGAATGGCTTTTAAACGGTGTTCAGGGGGTGCCTAGGGTGGGAAGAAAAAATTAATTTGAATTATTCTAAAAACATTTCTCTTTGGTTCTGACATGAAATTTAATATGTTTTAGGGGATAATTTAATCATTTATGTTCTTTTTTAGTATAATATAGACAATTTAAAAGCCGTTAAAGGGGAAAAAGTGAAAATGCTGTCATTTACTCACTGTCCACTTTAAAAACCTATTTGAGTTTCTTTCCTCTGTATTTGTATTTGAAATTTTGCAATTTCCTTAGTCAAATGGATATGAGAAATCTATAGATGAGACTTTCCATGATATTAAAGTGGTCCTCGTGGGGATCATCATATTTAGGAGATTTTTAAATAAAAATTGTATCCAACTTCACCTATTTTTATGCACATTTTGGAATATCACAATACACATTCTTAATGGAAATGCAGATCATTTTGAAAATGAGCATAAAAACTTATGCGCACAACTGAGAAGGATACACTTTTTATCTGATAAGAAATGCGCATAAACTATTATGGAAATATATATATTGAATAAATTCAGCATGTGCATCAAAAAGATCACATTACTTTTTTTAACAGATCATGTGATAACAAAAATGACCACGATGGAACATCCAGTGGACTGACCACATTGTATAACATCTAAAATTTTGTTTGATCATTCAAAAATGCATTAGCCAAAGTCTTTTGCTAAATACAAAACAAATTGCAGTGCATCCGGAAAGTATTCATAGCGCTTCACTTTTTCCACATTTTTTTATGTTACAGCTTTATACCAAAATTAATAAATTAATTTATTTCCACAAAATTCTACGCACAATACACCATAATGACAATATGAAAAAAAGATGTTTTGAAATTGTTGCAAATTTATTACAAATAAAAAAAACCTGAAAGATCACATGTGCATAAGTATTCACAGCCTTTGCTCAATACTTTTTTAATTCTTTTTGAATATGATGCCACAAGCTTGGCACACCTGTCTTCAGGAATTTTTGCCCATTCCTCATTGCATTACCTTTCAAGCTCTATCAGGTTGGATGAGGAATGACGGTATTGACCTTATTCTAAAATGCGGAAGTGTGCCTGTTTTCGCGATTGTCTTAGAACTTCCGTTTCAGTCGCCTATGGGAAAAATGACAAGAAATAATAAAGGGCAAAAAACGGTCAAACTACTTGCTCTACAAACAAATGTTTGCATGACTATATAGACCAAGTAGAATAATATAACAAGGAAATATCAGTTTGCAACATCAACAGCAAAACGAGCAGTTTTTAATGTCTAAAAATGAATAGAAGTCAATGAGACAAGAAGTCTCGTGCCAAAAAGATTCTAATGGCAGCGCCCGCTCGTCAGCGGAGAATAAGGTCAATACAGCCATTTTCAGATCTCTCTCGAGATGTTCAATAGGATTTAGGTCTGTGCTCTGGCTTGGCCAATCAAGGACATTCACAGAGTTGTTGTAAGCCACTCTGTTGATATTTTGGTGGTGTGCTTTGGGTCATTGTTGTGCTGGAAGATGAATCGTTGCCCATGTCTGAGGTCAAGAGCACTCTGAAGCAGGTTTTCATTCAGGATGTCTCTGTGCATTGCTGCATTTATTGTTCTCTCTATCCTGACTAGTCTTCTAATTCAAGGCTGTGAATACTTATGTACATGTGATTTTTTAGATTTTTTATTTGTAGTAAATTTGCAACAATTTAAAAAAATCTTTTTTCACATTTTTAATATGGGCTATTGTGTGTGTAAGTTTTGATTAAATAAATGAATTGAATCCATTTTAATCCATTCTGCAACATTACAAAAATGTGGAAAAAGTGAAGCGCCATGAATATTTTCCGGATGCACTGTATGTTGAAGAAGGATGGTAACCATTGACTTCCAAAGTAAGTTGTCAGCCAGGTTTCCAAAAATGTAATTAAATTATTTATTCATAGCATTGAACTCATACAGGTTTGGATAAAGAGTGAGTGAATTAAACAGAATGTTTGAGCTGCAGGAAGTTAACACACAATTCTGACTATTTTGAGGGGTGTATTTTTATGAAAACAAATATATTTTAGGAATGGGCCCTGTACATATGAATGAAGTTCAGTGTTCTGGCTTCGAGAAGTCTGTCACTGAGTGCTCCTTCAATATGGAAAAAGACTCTGAAGGCTGCAGTCATGAAGAAGACGCAGGTGTTAAGTGCAATGTTCCTGCTATGGGCTTCCAGCAAAGGGTAAGGTCCTGTCTGTGGTCTGTTTTAAATAACTGACTGCTGAATTCTGATTGCCATAATGTAACATGACAACTCTGCTGTTTATTACTGCAGCTACGGTTGAGCGGAGGTCGTAACCCCTTTGAAGGTCGTGTTGAGGTTCTTGTGGAGCGCAATGGTTCTCTTGTTTGGGGGACTGTCTGCGGTGAGGGGTGGACAACAATGGAGGCCATGGTGGTCTGCCGACAGCTTGGACTGGGATTCGCTAGCAATGCTTTCCAGGTATGTTTACTCACAGGAAATGGGCTTCACTTTGAGATATTTTTACAACTGCTGACAACTCTACAGGCTGGAAAGGTAAAGTTTCAAGGAGAAAACCTTGATCTTAATAAATTGGATGCTTGCCCTTTGAAGAAATTCATGGTATTCCAACTCTACATTACTATTCCATTCTCTCTTTTTTGGGGGATAAAAGCAGGATTGCGAAGGGCTGCTGTTAGTGAAATCAAAGCCCTGTGTGGGCTCAGAGTTTTCCACTGACGTCCTACCGTGATTTCTGAATAAGCAAACCAGATCATTTCAGTTATGGAATTTTTCAGATCAATTTCATCTTAATACTTTCCCCACCATTGACAAGGAATCTTGTCAATTGAGAGACAACCAGGGAGCGAATTACATAGAGGGTTTGGATGTGGTGCCAACCTGATTTCACCTAGTAGGACATGATGCTGGATTAACATTTAAGCTGATCCTGGAACAACATTCCAATCAGCCAATCAGAATTAAGGGATATGTTTACAAATCCTGTTAAGTTTAGGCTTGTGGTTAGGTTTATGCACTTCTATGTAATTCTTATGCAACTATTATTGCCATCTAATTTTGGTAGTAATTTACAGTTATTGTTGTGTTTAGGGGTAGGGATTAGGTATGGATTACATTTTGGAACTAAAATGATGTTCCAAGATCAACATAGATGGACAATAGATGGTAGCACAATCGCCTTATAGCAAGAAGGTTGCTGGCTCGAGCCTCGGCTGGGTCAGTTGGCATTTCAATGTGGAGTATGCATGTTCTCCCTGTGTTTGCGTAGGTTTCCTCAGGGTGCTCCGATATCCCCCACAAGTCCAAAGACATGCGGTATAGGTGAATCGGGTAAGCTAAATTGACCATATTGTATGTGTGTGATTGAATGTTTATGGGTGTTTCCCAGTGATGGGTTGCAACTGGAAGGGCATCCGCTGAGTAAAACATGTGCTGGATAAGTTGGCGGTTCATTCCGCTGTGGCGACCCTAGATTATTAAAGGAACTAAGCCGAAAAGAAAAGAATAAATGATGAATGATTCAAATATACATTTGACCATCTCTCTGACAGTTAAACCATTGTAAATGCATGCTCGCGCCAAGCAGTCTATGGCTGCTAGGCATGGGCTGGTATAAGATTCTGACGGTATGATTCCCGGTATTGTGACTACTGCACTAAAATATATTATTTTTGAATATTCAGGTAAAAAAAAATGTAAAAAGAATTCCCCATTTAACACAATATATTTTATTCTAAGAAACTTATTTTGAAGCAGTTAACATGTCAGGCTAAATAAATAAAATAAATCATTGACTTCTGCTGTCTTTATTAATTTTAAAACCACAGATTTTTTTTACAACTTGAAAAGGCATCTTGGGATATCTTTCTTTTCTGTAGATATTAATAAGACACTCAATGTTCAGCTCGATAGCATGCTTGGATGTTTGTGTATAAGCAATTTTTTTTTAGATGTTTGCTGAATCTTATCAGTAGCTTTTGATATGGATGCTCCTTTTCTGCTGGAGGTAATGTTGCCCTTAAAAAACTAAATAGAATATTCATAAAAACACAAATAAAAAAAACTTACAACTTACATATACCTCAGGAATGGTATAACAGAAGATTTTAGTTGGTTTCCAAACTGCAGTAAACCTTACCGGTTATTGTCCCATTCCTAATGGCTGCAGAAAAAAATATTCATTCAGCGGTTTAAAACAGGAAGATCTAGAGCACCAACAGACACCCTAAGTGTTAGCTTTTTTCTTGTAAAAGATAATTGTATCATGTGTAGCCTAAAAGAATGTAAAACTTGCAGCATAGTTTGTATTTTATTATACACTTAATGTTAACAAAGTTAAAGAGTAAAAAAAAATAAGTGCAGTCTTTTATGGTAATCTATTTATAGGTGCCAGAATGCAAACTTGTCACTGCTTATTTAATAGCAAATGCCATTGAGAATCACACAACTGCCGAAAAAGCCAATCAGAGGATACCGTAGGTCAGAAAACACTCAATATACCCTAAAACACCCATGTTCAGAGCAATTCATTATCTTGTCGGCTTAGTCCCTTTATTTATCCGGGGTCGCCACCGCGGAATGAACCACCAACTTATCCAGCAAGTTTTTACGCAGCGGATGCCCTTCCAGCTGCAACCCATCTCTGGGAAACATCCACAAACATTCACTCACACACTCATACACAACGGACAATTCAGCCTACCCAATTCACCTGTACCGCATGTCTTTGGACTGTGGGGGAAACCGGAGCACCCGGAGGAAACCCACGGGAACGCAGGGAGAACATGCAAACTCCACACAGAAACGCCAACTGAGCCGAGGATCGAACCAGCAACCTTCTTGCTGTGAGGTGACAGCACTACCTACTGCGCCACTGCTTCGCTCGTTCAGAACAATTATTAAATAAAATATATAAATTCAGTTCACTAAAGCATATTACACAATTTTTATGAGTGCCAATATTTTAGGTGTATTAAGGCAAGGGAAGCCCTAGTGCACTGTTTCTCAACCACGTTCCTGGAGGAACACCAGCTCTGCACACTTTCCATGTCTCCTTAATCAAACACACCTGATTCAGATCATCAGCTCATTAGCAAAGACTAAGAGACCTGAAATGGGTGTGACAGACAAAGGTGACATCCAAAACATGCAGTGCTGGTGGTTCTCCAGGAACGTGGTTAAGACACACTGCCCTAGTGCATGCCTTGAAGAAGTTACAGGACTTGTAGTTTTCCTGGATCTGAAATACAAAGATGATAAGTGTAAGTGTAGGTCAAAAATTGCATGTAAATTTTCCTTTGGCTTAGTCCCTGATTAATCAGGGGTCACTACAGTGGGATCAACGGCCAACTTATCCAATAGTATCTGGATGCAGCCTTTATGATGCAAGCTGAGATTGCATCGCTGATTGAATGACACAATGCACTCAATGGAATGAGTGACGTCACTGTGACAGTTAGGGTTAGGGATGGGGTTAGGTAAGCGCATTAAAAAGCATTGGATGCAGCTTAGATTGCACTGCAGCAGGTCTGCATACAGACCCCTCTCAACTTATCTAGCATATGTTTTACACAATGGATGCCCTTCCAGCTGCAACCCAGTACTTGGAAACATCCATACAAACTTATTCACACACATACATTATTGTCAATTTAGTTCATCCAATTCACCTATACCGCATGTCTTTGTACTGTGGGGTAAACCGGAGGAAAACCATGTGAACACGGGGAGAACATGCAAACTCCACACTAAAACAGGCCTAGTCAGGACTCGAACCAGTTACCTTCTTGCTGTGAGGTGACAGTGCTAACCACTGAGCCACCATGCCACCCTTAATATGTAATATGAATACGATCATATGTTGAATCTAGAATTTCATGATAGAAAATTCTCAGATGACTTTCAAAGTGAAAATCCTTCAAAATGTTCATGTTAAAACAAAGCTGGGGGGGGGGGGGGGGGGATGGGTTAATTGAACATTTTGTGACACCTTGGTTCCTGTGGCGTCGATTAGCTGTATCTTCTGGCTGTTAATATGAAACGGCAGGATTTCATTCCTCTGGCATGTTGTCTAGTCTAATGACACTGCATTTGTCAATTCATCAAAGGGATTTTGTAAACAGAGCGGTCTGGTTGTACCTTCTGAAGAATGTTCTGTGATTCTGTTTGTCAACTATATCCATAAAGAAGCTGTTTTTCAAATGTTGCTCGTGTTTTTCCCAACAGTGGCTCACTTGTACAAAGTCCAAGGCAGAATTCTTTCTTTTTACAGCTTGGGACAAAATGAGATACTGTTAGGAAACGTATATGTACTTGTACGTCTGAAATGGTTCCCAGTTTTATTGGTCTCTGATGTGTTATCAAATGGCTTTGATCCATTTTGCACAGCTTGGCTTGAAATAAAGATGTTTCTTATTGAGAAACAATGGTCATTAGTAGACCAACCAGCTATTTAAGTCATCCCTGTTTCTCTCAGTTTAACCTTTCTAAATAACATGCTTTCTGACGGTTATAGATGTCTGTGTTTACTGTTGCCAAGGGAAACCTTTACTCCCTTCTGCTTTGACAGCGGTAAAGATAAACTGTTACACCTGGGAAGCATTTAAAAGAGTTAGAGACTTCAATCCAAGAGAAAATTATATCTCTTCATCAAATGGATCTTAAATAGATAATAAGCAGGAATGAAACTGTTGACTGCCACAGGGTTGGAAAACGGAGTAGTGGTTTGCTTTTAAAAATGTTACTGTTGGATCGATGTGATTTATGACTGGAAATGGCTGAACAATAGACTGTGTTTTTTTCTTCTAAATAATAAAAGGGTTGATTTATAGTGTGTATGCCTTTTTAATATAGGCAACTAAATATAAAATGTCATGTCAAAGTAACATTTCATTGTTCAGGATATTAATTTGAGCTATCTAACAGTTGGTCTTGTTTGGCGTTAGACTTTGCCACTGATTTGCTAAGCTATGTTTAGGCAGCTCAGGACTTTTCTCGATTAGAACAAAGCTCCAGTGATTTTAAGATGGTGAGAGAAAATAGCACCATCGTCTGGTTATTTTGCACTTAGTGTTGTGTTCTCTCATAATAATATCTAGCATATGTTCATTTATGAAGGTGTATTTAATAAGACTGGTGTAAAAGAAAACAGAGCAGTTAGCGACACCTAGTGATGTAAATGTAGCTCACATGTTTATATAGTAAACATAAGGGGTAGTTAACGTTTCAGGAGATAGTTCGAACTAGCTGGTCAATCAGGCTGGTTTTAGAGGGGTTTTGGCCATTCCAGGCTGGTTTCCAGCCATTTCCAGCCTGGTCTTAGCTGGTCAGGCTTGGAGATGACCAGCTAAAACCAGCTTGACCTGCCTACCTAGGCTGGGAGCCCAGCCAAAAACAGCCATCTCCAGCTTAAACCAGGCTGGTCAAGCTGGTTTAGGCTGGTCATTTTCCAAACCCCTCTAAAACCAGGCTGGTTGAACAGCTAAAACCAGCCAACTTAGGCTGGTTTAAGCAGTTTTTTTCAGCAGGATCATCCCCCAAAAAAGAAAATTCTTTCATTATTTACTCACCCACACAAACCTTTTTGAGTTTCTTTCTTCTGTTCAACACAAAAGAAAATGCTCAAACACTGAAACCATTAGTGTTTATTGTTGGTTATTGTTTTTACATTCTAAACATTCTTAATAATATCTTTTTTGTTTGTGTTCAATAAAAAAAAGGTAACTCATAAAGGCTTAGAACCACTAGACAGTGAGTAAATGTTGATTTCTGGCCTCTGGATTCATTTTCAGTTTCCAGTGTCAGTAGAACAATGCTCTCTATATAAACATCCTTCATATCTTGACATCTTTGATATCTTCCTCTTTTATTTAAGATAGTTGCAAAGTTTCTGATAGGTAAATACAATTTTTCTGTGAACTACATTCCAGTTAATCAATACAATTATAATAGTTTTACTCAATCTGAACCACTGTCTACAGGTGAAGAAAGTGTCAATATTTTTTTCATATGAGTAAACATTACTGGGTTCATCTTTAATAGTCTAACACTATATTATATAATGTATGCTGCATTTAAATTCAGTGCACTTTTATAATTTCCCCTTAGAGATTTCCCCTTGAACTCTGAAGTGTAATATGTTGTGCAGGAGACGTGGTACTGGCCTGGTGCAGTGAATGCAGATGCAGTGGTTATGAGTGGAGTGAGGTGTGCAGGAACAGAGATGTCTCTCTCCCACTGTCTGCATCACGGAGAATATCTCAGCTGTCCTAAAGGTGGAGGACGATTCGCTGCTGGAGTTTCCTGCTCAGAGAGTAAGATTATTATCATAAAAATATTTCAATCTAGTTGTTTTTTTTTGTCTTTGTCAACCTTGAGCAATTATTTGTACCGTATGGACATAGTTATTTTAGCTTCGACTAATTTATTTCTGGAGAAACACTGACCTCTGGTGGTCACACAAAATAACATCCCACCCTCTCGTCGGTTTGTGTTGTTACAAGGAATACAAATAATTACTAATGTAGCGTGTGGTGTAAACAATTAAATAATAAAATTATATATAATATTTACATTATAATCACCTTCTAGGTGTATTATTAAAAACTTGGAAATATAGGTTTATGGCAGGTTAAATGAGAATGTTTTGTGGAACCTTTAACTGAATATTCTGTTTTCATTTACTCGCCCTCAAGTAGTTCCAAACCTGTTTGACTTCCTTCTGTTGAACACAAATTGGGTATTCTGAAAAAGTAACCATTGACTTCCATAAAATCTGTTTTTCCTACTGTGGATACTATGAAAGTTAAAAGTTACAGGTTTTTAGCTATCTTCAAAGTATCTTCTTTTGTGTTCAACAGAACAAAGAAACGTAGTATTTGCAACCACTTGAGGGAGAGTAAATAGTGTGTGAATTTTCATTTTAGAGTGAACTATCCCTTTAAACAAGCCATCTATTCTTTTATTCACAGATTACATATATATCACTCTTTAAAAGAACACTGAGGAGAGCATTTGTTTAAAAAAAAGGCTAAAAATGATTTGTTTTTTCTAGCTGCTCCAGATCTGGTGCTCAACCCGCAGGTGGTGGAACAGACCACATATTTGGAGGACCGTCCTATGTTCATGTTACAGTGTGCTTATGAGGAGAACTGCCTGGCCAGCACCTCCAGTGCCACTCCTGCCAACTCCCCTCGCCGGCTCCTCCGTTTCTCCTCCCAGATCCACAACAACGGACAATCTGACTTCAGGCCCAAAATCTCCAGAGAGAACTGGGTTTGGCATGACTGTCACAGGTAGGGCTGCACAATATGACGTATGATGATCATCAGTGTGGGACAAAATTACTTTTGAAAGTAGTGCATTACCATATTGAGTTACATCCCCAAAAAAGTAACTAATTGCTAGTTACTTTTTATGGAAAGCAATGCATTATATTACTTTTCAGTTACTTTTGTGTTACTTTTCCTTACCTGACTGAGGTTTGATCTCTTTCAGAACTTGCAGGTGTTTTTTCACGTTTTATATAGAGAAGCTCTGCATTTAACAACCACTTATAAACCTACACCTTTATTTTCCTTTAAAAAATGTAGGATAATATTATATTTTGAGAACTTTCTGATCCCAGAGCTAGACATGATGTATATACAGATAAGTGACAGCATGCAATGTGTTTGCTACTTTTGAATGTTTTGTGTTATTAAATAAATTCACTGTTTTTAAATAAAGCAAATTTTTAATAAAAAAAAAAAACAGATTTTAAACCTTTAAAATATTTAATAACAAAATGAATAGCAAGACGAAAAAAAACAGCCCCAAATCAAAATAAATCTTTGAGCTTTATACATTGAATACTTTTCTTCACATGGCCTTAACAAATGTGTAAATCGTTTGCCACAAGAAAAAAAATCTTAGTATATTACAAAACATAGTCACTTCTACAATAATGTTGGACAGTGGCTGCATCTCCTCAAATAATAAAAGCAATAACCATTTTTAATTTAGTCTAATTAATTGTTTTACCTGGAGAACATGAACTGATGTCAATCATTGGTTGTTTAGCTGGAAGGGGTGCGGGTGCAGTGCTTCACATCCAGTTTTTTTTTTTTTTTTCCCAATGTTGTGTTTCTTGCAGTTGTCGAGAGTTTTACTTAATAAGTTAATAATCTACACTTAACAACAATCCACTTCTTTTCTTCAATGAGTTCAAAAAAACAAGAATCCATTGCAAAAATGTAAGTCTTCGGCCTGCCATTCTGACTGTCTGTAGTGATGATGGGCGATTTGCGAATGAATTGAATGAATTTTTCAAACCGGATCTTCTGAACCGGTCGAATTGTCGTGAAACGGTTTGCGTCTTCAATAAGTACTAACATATCGGATACTCCCTCTGACTTGAAATAAACCAATATCCTAAGATATTCAGTTACTAGAACAGTACACTGACTCATCTGCTGTGAAAAAACCTGACCATGATGATGAGTGCGAGCCGACTGTCTGTTCACTCGCAGCACACAAGTCTCTAATTGAGTGCGTGATTCAACCTGACTAGGGTACTTTTCATTCTGCAATATGTTTTGTAAAAACCAATTGAGCAAGGTAAAAAGTAAGTTGAGGAACAATCTTGAATGCAGAAGCCACATTTTGACCAAATTTGGGTCTTGTAGCATGAACGGCCTATGAGGAGATACGTTTTTGAGGACAGAGTAGTATATGAGCAAGCATAGGAGCTTCCATCTAAAAGTATTAGTCAATTATCTCTGTTTAATAATCAAAACTGACAAGAATGTGACTGTGAGGGGCTCCATCAGCGATTCCTCTGAGCGACATGAGCAACCGAATGAACAAGTGTAATAGTTACAAGTGAAGACAAAAGGTTTTTCGATATTGCAGTATTATTTCAATTCAAGATATGAAAGTGTTTATTTTTAACCAAAAGATTGCAACCTTAGCTTAAAAATTCATGAAGTGAAAGTCACTAGCATCACTGGCACTTGACGGTCAACAAAATACAGACATAACAAAAATATACGTGCCTCCTGATGACACATTGAGGTCTTAAGAAGTGAAAAGATCAAGCTGTTCAAGATTAGTCTGGAGCATAGCCTCTTGTCTCACGATGACAGGCGCAGATGCAAACTCAAGTGTGAGCTGACACCTGACTTATAATTTTCTAATTCATTTCCATATTAATGCTACAGGCACTATCATAGCATGGAAGTGTTCACCCATTATGATCTACTCAGCACCAATGGCACTAAGGTTGCAGAAGGACACAAAGCAAGCTTCTGTCTGGAGGACTCAGAGTGTGATGAAGGTATGAACGAATGTTTTTGAAGTTGAACTGTTCCTTTTCTGTAATAGCATGAGACTAAGATGATGTGTTCTTCATTTTGTTAATCAGGAATTGAAAAGAGGTACGAGTGTGCGAACTTTGGTGAGCAGGGCATCACAGTGGGCTGCTGGGATACATACAGACATGACATTGATTGCCAGTGGGTGGACATTACAGATGTTAAACCGGGAGACTACATATTCCAGGTTGAAATCGTTCATTTGCAGAGAAGTTGTTATTTTCATAATAATAAATAAAATTGAATCATATTTTTGACTTATGTATTTTTTTGTGCTGATTGTTCTCTCCCACTGACAGATCGTAATTAACCCCAATTATGAAGTTGCTGAGTCGGATTACACCAATAACATTGTGAAGTGCAGATGCCGGTATGATGGTCACCGTATATGGATGTATAATTGCCATATAGGTAAGCAACATGTCATGAAGGCCTCTTTATTTGCCCTGGAAATTAATTCATAATTTTGATAAATTACTTTTTTATGATTAATATCCCTCAACTTAAATATAGATATGACCAGAAAATGTGTAAACGGCGTGACACCATGGGTCAGTGGTTAGCACTGTTGCCTCACAGCAAGAAGGTCGCTGATTTAAGTCCTGGCTTGGTCATTTGGCATTTCTGTGTGGAGTTTGTATGTTCTCCCCATGTTGGCGTGGGTTTCCTCCAGGTGCTCAGGTTTCCCCCACAGTCCAATCACATGTGTTATAGGTGAATTGAATAAACTAAATTGGCCATAGTGTTTTGAATGTTTCCCAATACTGGGTTGCAGCTGGAAAAACATATGCTTTGTTAAACATACAGTGTGCTAGATATGCTAGATAAGTTGGCGGTTCATTCTGTTGTTAAATAAAGGGACTAAGCTGAAGGAAATTGAGTGAATGAATGAAAATGTGTAATTTATTTTTAATCTTGAACACTCTACAGTTGGCCAGAATTATTAGCCCCGCTTTGATTTTTTTTTTCTTTTTTAAACATTTCTAAAATGATGTTTAACAGAGCAAGGACATTTTCACAGTATGTCTGATAATATTTTTTCTTCTGGAGAAAGACTTATTTGTTTTATTTCGGCTAGAATAAAAGCAGTTTAATTTTTTATGCATGATTTTAAGGTCAAAATGAATAGCCCTTTTAAGCTATTTTTTTAGACTATCTACAAACCATTATTATACAATAACTTGCCTTATTACCCTAACCTGCCTAGTTAACCTAGTTAAGCCTTTAAATGAAGATGTTTAGTAGTATCTTGAAAAATATCTAGTAAAATTATATTTACTGTCATCATGGCAAAGATAAAATAAATCAGTTATTAGAAATGAGTTATTAATAATATTATGTTCAGAAATGTGTTGAAAAATGCTCTCGGTTAAACTGAAATTAGGGGAAAAAATAAACAGGGGTGCTAATAATTCAGGGGGGCTAATAAATAAATATATATACAGCACTGATCAAAAAATTTGGTTCAGTATGTCAACAAGAATGCATTAAATTGATTAAAAGTGACCATAAATGTAGTGCGAAAAGATATACATTTCAGTTAAATTCATTTCTTTTTTCGTTTATCAAATAATCATGAAAAAAGTAAATCCTTTCTGGGGTTACATTACATAGTACGAGAAGGTTCTGTCATGATAAGGATTTTTTGTTGTGCGATATATTGTCATTGAGATTGTTGAGATAAGGAATATTATTGTCATTTTAAGTTGTCATTTTATGTCCCTGATTATGTAATGATTAATGATGAACACTTTAAAACACTTATCATTCTTAAGGTTATTTAGATTCTGGATTTTGAATTTAAAAAGGAAAATGTCCTATTATACATACTATAAAATGTCCTATAAATAGGGCCACATGGATTTCTGCTGATTTTTTTGCCCATCGAGTCTATGTATCTACTTGTGGAAATATATAATTTTCTTTTAGTTTTTATAATCCATTTCACTAATATTATTGGGCTATAATAATAATAATATTAAAATGTTCTTATGATTTAGTTACAGTTTGTGAAGTAATATTTTCTGTCTTTTAGTAGATATATTATAAGAGAGACCTGCTTCTTTTACCTAATAATTGGATCTAATTGGATTTGCATTGAATTTTAAAATTTTACTTTTATAAAATAAAAATTTATTTATTTTTATTTCATATATTAAGTTTTTAGGTATGAAACTCCTAAAATAATTCCACATAAATCTGCAGATTTTTTACAAAATTCTCTGAAGAAATAGAAAAAAATGTCCGCAGATTCTGTCTGGCCCTACGGATTAGGTAAATGTCCAGTTATAAAATTTTAATTGTCACTAGTGAGTTAAAATGTAAATGTCATTGTCAACTTCGTATTTGAGGTCATTGTCAACTTCGTGATTGAGGTCATCTCCAAGTATTGCACGATAATTGAGTGTATTTATTATTTATTATTGTGACTGGCCCAACTACAAGGTATTCAAATGAGGGAAAAAAACATTTTGATTTATAATAATTTTTCATAATATCTCTGTTTCATAACAGATTTACGTTTACGTTACATAACTGTTTATGTTAATATCTTTAATATTATATTTTTATTAAATAAATGCAGACTTTAACCTTTTTAAATGTTAAATGCCAAATCTTTTAATGCTATTGCAAAAAATAAAGACTATTAGTTAAATCTAGCTACATAGCTAATCATTCATTCATTCATTTTCTTTTCGGCTTATTCCGTTTATTAATCAGGGGTCGCCACAGCAGAATGAACCGTCAACTTATCCAGCATATGTTTTACGCAGCGGATTCCCTTCCAGCTGCAATCCAACATTGAGAAACAACCACACACTCTCATTCACACACATACTACGGTCAGTTTAGCCTACTCAATGCACCTATAGACCATTTCAATGACTTGATGTCATTGGCCCATGAACATTTCCTGCTTGCTTTCAAACTATTTCATAACAAGAGGCAAGTCAATCATAACTTGGTGTTAAAACAGCTATCATAACATTAATTAACAATGTGTGGCTCTTTAGGGATTCTCAGAAGCTATAGGATTTAAAAATGTAAAACAGGAAATACGTTGGGACCATTGTTTTTGTTTACATCCCTCAAAATGGTCTATAGCACATGTCTTTGTACTGTGGGGGAAACCGGAGCACCCGGAGTAAACACAGAGAGAACATTGGGAAAACATGTAAACAGAAATGCCAAGTGACCCAGCCAAGGCTCGAACCAGTGACCTTTTTGCTGTGAGGCGACAGTGATACCCACTGCACCGAACCATAGCTAATATTATAGAACCGATTTCAAAATAAAATAATAAGTCTACAAAGTAAACTTTGAGGTGTTCAAATATATTTTGTGACTTCTGTATACCCCTAAATGAGATGTCATCCCATGAGCATGCTGTATTCTAAACATGACTGTATTTCTGTCTCTTTATAGGAGGCTCCTTTAGTGCAGAGACAGAAGACACTTTCCCTGGCCTGATCAACAACCAGGTGACCCACAGGTAAAGGTTCAGATGAACATCCAGAAACCCCAACCAACCAATGAGATTATCAAGAGCCCTGAACCACTACACCTCTCTAGAGGACCTTTCCACTTCTCAGCCTTATCTCCATCGTACTGTAAGACAGAACAGAACATCCCCATTTCAAACGCATTCCAGTTTCGAGACAGGAACTGACTCTTGTCTGAGATTAACAGACTGAAAAGCTGTTGTTTTCCCTCTCACCCCTGAGGCAGTAACAAATCTGAAAGCTCAGTCTTTCTGTTTTTGCTGCCGATGTTGAAAATGGAACTGTGGATAACTCTCAAGTGAGATCATTTCTTACATGAAAGGAACTCTGGTGCACTTTTATATACATGTGTGTATTTTTGAACTTGACAGGACTTGTGGTTTAGGTCTTTTTGTAAGCGTTTCAACAAGGTAAGAGGACTTTCCTCAGGTGGGTCATACATCTACAGAAAAATAAAGGCCTGAAGAGACCATTTCATTTCCCTTTTTAGTCTCTTATGTGTTTTAACTTTATACTTGGGCTTTTTGAATCCAAGCTGACGACTTCTGCTTATAGATAATATTTGAAGTGCCTCATGGGTTTGCAGTACAAACTGCTGATACATTAAGATACGATGAGCCCTGGAATATTTCATCTTTATTTTTTAAAAGGAGTTTGTTCTTACATTATGTATTGTAATACAGGAATACTTTGAGAAGCCTTACATCTACAGGTTCAGATCAGAGGTTCATAAACACTGGCATCCCAGGAGCAGGTTACTTTTATTACAGTTTCCCCTGTTTCATTATTTGAAATTGACTGGTGGTCAGTTGCTGTGGACAGTCATTATGAATTATTTATGCCGTCCATTCTGTACGTCTTATGAAGCTGACTGAAAACATCACAAGCAAGCATTTAAAGCAATTTATCACACCAGTATTAAATAACTTATTTAAAAACAGGGATTTCTAATGCTATTTTTTTCAATGTGGAATGTTTTTGATTTGTTGTCTGTCAATGGTGCTAACGTAGTGTTATCCTCTGTTTTTTGAGGGACTGTATCAGCTAATTTTATATAAAGCTTACTTGAATGGATGTAAAAATCATGGATGTATGCAATGTAGCATAATAAACATGCATTATTTGGCAAAAGAAGAACAACATGCAGTATGGGCCAAATGGATCTAGTTGTTTTCTTGGAATCTCCAGTGGGAAGACATTTTTCATTCACATTGCACCCTCTAGCGGTGCAATACTGCAAACACTGTACTGTAGATATAATATTCACTTCATCCACAAGAGAGCCCTGTAGAAGCCTATCAAAATGGAAAGATTAACAGAAGTCTATTCAACTTGAAACATAATAGAAATTTACATTCCATACAGAGAGCAGTGTATTTGAAGATGAATGTGAGTTGTTCAAGCATTTAGAGATTTACCTAGCAAGCTCTTCATATGATTAATTACCTGTTTTCATAAGCACAACACGCATAACTTAGGATTCATACATCAGTAATCAAAGTGTTTCGTTGTTGTATTAATATTGTTGTAATAACCGTTATTTTAAAAGGCTTTTGAGATTAATGCTCATCATTTTTTATCACTGACAGACGATTTTCCTAAATGCTGGAGGTCCGTTTTTAAAAGATTTCGAAGATGGTAATTGTAGTTAGTGGTTCAACCTCAAATGGTAAATGTACAAAGACCACCCACAGTGTATAAAAACAAGTGTCTGAGTTCTTAAACAGCAGGGCATGAGGTATGTATTAATTACTGAATCACTTTCCAGGAAAACGGAGACCTTCACTCTTGACCTTAATAAGCACCTTTTCTGGTAACACTAACAGTTTTTGTTTTGGTGATGATGCATGTCTGTTTATGAAGAAAATAACCGGATGAAAGAACATGAACAGAATTAATTTACGTGAGTTACGTCAACATTCTGACATCACAACAGCCCATGTTCAAGGCTTCTCGTTAAAATGTTACTTTGTCTAAAAATCTTGTTTTTATTTTCATTTAGTAACGCATGATATTTAATTGTTGTAAAGGAAAACAGATTCACTCAAACCACTCAAAAAGTTGTAAAAGAAGCTGATTAAACAGCGCCTGCACGAATCAGGATTTGGTAAGTTGCATTAACACTAATTCAAAATGATCAGTAAAATATATGATTTAACTTGTGTGCGAAATTACATAATTTAAACAGATTTTTACTTTTGTCGCCGGCAAACTTGTTCTATACGTGAGAGAGGAGTGAGGGTGAATCAGCTCTTAATTTGTGCAGTTCATAGCTGCGGGCACGCGCTTCCGATGACTCAGGATTCGGATCAAAGTTAATGCGTACAGAGTGTATCCGGATCAAATGTGGAGAAGGTGCAGATTGCATCCTCGAATTGAACTAAAGTTTTTAGGAATTAGGTCCAGAGTTTTCTAACACTGACACGAATTTAAATCCAGTGGAGTATTCCGCGTTTTCAGGTGACACTTTATATTATATTTCCTTTGTTAAACCGGCTGAACCCCACCTTGTGTGAAGCTTATATTATCACAATGTTTGATTGAATCGTTGATGTTTTTCTGATGATTGTCTGGATTTGGTTTGGACATAAAAATCAGTTCAGTTCTCACTAGACCACCAAAAGTTTCCTCCAAAAAAGGCCTTGTGTTTTGTCTTGATTTAATGTTTGGCGCTTGCTCTTGCTCTTGCTAGGCTTAGCTTCAAATCTGACAAGCTGAAGTGATGGTTGTGTGTGGACAGTTTTTCCAAAGTAAGCCAAAAAGCTCTACATTTCTCACACAGTATCAGTCATTTTTCTGTCACTATCTTTGTCCAATTGTTCACTTTGGTGAGACAGAAACCGTTTATAGGCATATTTGTTGGTTTGTTTGTAGAACTGCATACAATGAAATTGTTTACCAAGAAAAATCCAAAAACATGTACTTTCAAACGTTTTATGAAGCTTTGTCCATCAAATCGTTTTATCTATCTATCTATCTATCTATCTATCTATCTATCTATCTATCTATCTATCTATCTATCTATCTATCTATCTATCTTATCTTATCTTATCTTATCTATGCATGCATGCATGCATGCAAATAATGTGTGTTTTGTCTTGTGGACCCAATAGCTCATCTAAAACAGAAAATTTTATCATCACCTTTCACTTATCACTAACCTGTTTAAGATGTTTCTCTGTTGAACACAAAATATTTCACAAAATATTAAAAGATATTTGCTCAGGTTGTAACCATAAACCTCCATAGTATCAATGGTTTAATAGTATAAATGACGTCAATGTTTTAACAAAAAAAATAACCTCCTAAAGGTTTGGGAACTATTTGAAAGAGAAAGAACAATGAGTACATTTTTATTTTGTGTTGTACTATTACCTTGACAGATATAAAGTAAAAGAAAATAATTTCAGTAAAGAAATCAGTGTAAAAATAATAATAATAATAAATTAAAATACAATGCCTGGAAATGGAAAAAACTGCACTTTTTTGGTAGAGAAAGTAAAAAATATCCAACTTCCTGTTGAGTTTGAGATTTTGCTTTGCAGGTTTTGGCATGTTTGATGTGTGTGCCAATTTTCATGTGTGTGAAAGGTAGCCCGGGGGCCAGTTCATCAAATGTGCATAGGTAGCGTTGTGAAGCCATTTTGCCACATCCACTTCTGAAACCCATAGTAAGTGATAATTTTTCATCACGTCTGGTGTTTGTAAAGTTTCATGCGTTTTCTAACATGTTTAGACCCTCAAAATTCCTTTGATTAGCGGCAGGATAATAGTAATAATAAAAACAGAGTAATTCTTATAGGGCCTACTCACCGATTTGATGCTCAGTTCCTAAAAACGATTGGAAACCCAAGCTCATATGGTGACTAAGTTTATTTTCTCATCTGCAGAATTGCATTTTTATAATGTTCACTTTAAAGTCAACAAAACAAAAGGGAATTGTTGCTGCATACAGTCTGAAGAGCAGAATGTTTGCTGTCATGAAACGGATGAATTATAAAACAGATGATGAAGAAACAATACAATAGTTGAAACCATCATATCCCTCAAGTCAAATTAAAAGCAGTCAAAACGGCACGCCAACTCTATGCTGGAAAGAGGATGGCCAGACGCACTGAGAGTTAGTATTTGTTTTGATGAAGTGTCAGCTCAAGGCTTCAGTCTCTAAGTAGGAAGAGAAAACGAAGCATGCAGAAACTTGAAATTTGCGCACTGTTTGCAGCCAGGCATTGTCAGACTCCAAGTAATGTTTCTCTGTCTGGTGATTTCACAAAAAGCTCTCAGTATGTTTAGAAGAGCATTTCATGGAACACTTGTTCTTTTCATTTCCTCTTTTGGAATGTGGACTGATGAAGTCACAATGTATTCATATTCTGTTCATACTGAACACTTATTTAGTGCAATATACTGTAGAATAAAACGGCTGTGTGGAATAAATATAAAAAAAATTTTTAGAGTATAAGTGACACGGTGGCTCAGTGGGTAGCACTTTCGCCTCACAGCAAGAAGGTCGCTGATTCGAGCCCCGGCTGGGTCAGTTGGCATTTCTGTGTGGAGTTTGCATGTTCTCCCAGTGGTGGTGTGGGTTTCTTCTGGGTGCTCCGGTCTCCCCAAGTCCAAAGACATGCGGTATAGGTGAATTAAATAAACTAAATTGGCCGTAGTGTATGTGAATGTGTGTGTATGGATGTTTCCCAGTTCTGGGTTGTAGCTGGAAGCGCATCCGCTGTGTAGGACATATGCTGGATAAGTTGGCGGATCATTCCTCTGTGGCGACCCCTGATAAGTAAAGGGACTACGCTGAAGGAATATGAATAAATGAATTTTGAGTGTATAGAATCAGTCAATTCTATTCATCTTTATTGCTAAAATGCTTTTTTACAATGCAGATTGTGTGAAAGCAGCTTAACATAGATGAAGTTCTAGTAAACTGAAACTGCTTCAATCCAGTTTTCACAGTTGAAATTCAGTTTGGTGTAGTTTAATAAATGTCACTGCTGGAAGCCAAAACATTGAAGAGCTACTCCACTGATTCGGAAAGAAATGACTAATTGATACAAAGAGTTGGAACAGATTCATTCTTAGTTTTTTTTTCCAAATCCTGTTAACATGTTAATACTCGCCACCTCAATCAATTCTGTGGTTGAGGAAATCCGCACTTCTACATTCATGTTGCAGTGGGCTACAAAACAGCTGGGCTTTTGATCTTATATTAACGTCAGGAAATTTTTAAAAATAGACTTCTTGTGTTCATATAATGCCAATATGGTTGTGGACGCAGAGGCGGACTTAAGCAATAAGCAAGGTAAGCAGCAGCTTAGGGCCCTGGGAATTTAGGGGGCTCCTACCAATGCCAAGAAGTCTATATTAATTATACTGCTCTTTTATACATTTTTTGTCATATGTTATAAAATCTGTCTATAACCATAATTAAAAAAAATAAAAAAATCTTTTTACTTCTTTTTAAAACTGGTAACTGGTTGGCCCCTATGAATAGTGGAAATTTTCTTTCGTACTTCACATGAAAATATTAAAATCTAATCACAAATGTGGCTTAGTTTGTAAACTTAACTTTTTTTCCTTTGTGAATTTATTGCATTTATTCTTGCAATTAGAAGATAAAGGTTCCACTTAAAATATTTTTAACATGCAGTTTATTTAACAAAAAAAAGTCTAGTTTTAATGCTTGGGCCCCATACCTGGAATCACTAAGTCCACCCCTGTGTGGACACACTATACCTACACACAGTTCTGTCCAAACAATTTTCAAAAGTTGATTTAGTATCATAGGTGCCCTATAAATGATATTGCTATTGATATTTAAGTAAGATCAGAACCGACATAATTGGATGTAGCATTAGGACTCGACTGCAGAAATGTGGCTTCATATTGTTGTGGTAGTCAGAACATGGAAGATTGGGAAATACGCTTCCCCCTTCTTGAGTACATATGCTATGAGTAATGAATGTGAAGGATGAAATTAAATTGAAATGAAATTTCTGCCATGAAACTCTCTGCGCGAGCAGACTGATAGGTCTCCTAGTCTGCTCCTGCATCAAGTACACAGTGCAGGAGATTAGTTGCTGTCACCTTGGGAGCCAATGAGCTTGCTCCTCATCAGTTTAAATGCTCCGCGTCAT